GCAGGAAGCACCTTAATTAAAAACAGGGGCAGCTCTTGAACAACCCTTAACCCAGCAAAAAAGTAGATTCATAATAGACCTTTTGTACAGATCCTACCATTGTTTTGCTTTCACGAATTCATAAAGATGTAACTGAGTGTGAAAGTATTGTGAAAAACATCTTACCCTGAATACCTCTAGACTTGAGAAAAAAACCAAATCCATAAACTAGGTATTTTTCAGTCATTTATTTCTTCTTGGCAGCCTGGGTTTGCAGTGAAGACCCAGATTTTCTTTTGTTCTTCCTCTGCCAGTCTCTGTTCCAACTATTCCCTTTTTTGTTTGTTTGGTTTTTTTTTCCTTACAGAGGTAGCAGAGGAGCTTGGAAGAACAGCCTCCTCCTCATCCATAGTTCCTTACTTGCCCCGGTTGCCCTTGCTTCCCTCCAAGACTAGAACACTGAAGAAACAGGCAGAGAACAAGGAGAACATTGAAGGAATACAGGATACTGTGGAGCACTCAGCTTCCAGCTCAGCACCAGGTATGGGCACTGGGACAGTGGCAGTGAGGCCACGTGTTCTGGGATAAACCTGCTGCTGTTATCATTGACAGAGAAACAGAAAAAAACCCAACAGAAAAAAACCCAACACGGCAGGGCAAGTTGCTTTGTGCTGCTGTGTCATTAGGGCTGTTGGCCATCTCAGCAGCCAAGTTGTTCATTAGCAAATGGAAAACACTGCAGCTTGTTTAATGTTCTTTTAGTAAATCCCTCTGTATTTCTTTAGAATTTAGTTTTGCTGCTTTTTTTTAAATGCCAGCTTCAAAACTAAGGTTGACAATGCAGCAAGAGATTTTGGTTTATACTTGTGGTGTTTTGGGGAAAGAAGAAAAAACTACAGGAAGGGAATAAGAAATTGGAAGAAAAAAGCAACTTCATTTTTTCTGAACTTTCTCCTAAGTGGCCTCCTCAGTTTAGACAACAGCCAAGTCACGCATGCAGAAGTAGGATAAAAGTAAAAAAAAATCACACCAGCTTTGCAGAAAAATAAAAGCGTTAACTTCCTCTCAACCTGTCTCTAAGCATAACCTGCAGAAACTGGGCAGCTGAATATGCCAAGGCCTGTAAAGTGCACTGCAGGATAGGGGGGTGAAAATGGAAATTGATTTTGCAGATTCACACTTGTTTCTTCTGTCTAGGTTTTATCAGAAGCACACAGCCAACAAGTGGGTCTCCTGCACTGCCTCGCAAGCAGAGGGACAAGTCACCCAGCAGCCTATTGGAGGATGCCAAAGAGACCACTTTCACCAGGGACAGAAAAGGTGGCTTCTTCAGCTCCTTTATGAAGAAGAGGAATGCTCCCACACCTCCCAAACGCAGCAGTTCCTTCCGGGAAATGGAGAATCAGCCCCATAAGAAATACGAGCTGACGGGTAACTTTTCATCTGTTGCTTCCTTGCAGCATGTGGATGGGTTCTCTTTTGCTCCCACACAGCAGGACGCCAGCCTAGCACCACCCAAGTGCTATGGTGGGGGCTTTGTGCAGAGGACCTTCTACAACGATGATGGCACTGGTACCAGCAGTGGTGGGGGTGTAAGCACCGGTGGTGGGTGGTCGGGCATCACTGGTTTCTTTACACCACGCTTGATTAAAAAGACACTGGGTTTACGAGCAGGAAAACCCACTGGCAACGAAGAAGCTTCAAAACCTTTTCCAAGGTCAAACTCTACATCTTCCATGTCCTCAGGGCTTCCAGAGCAGGATAGGATGGCAATGACCCTTCCCAGAAATTCCCAGAGGTCAAAAATCCAACTGGAACGGACAGTGTCCACCTCCTCTCAGCCCGATGAGAGCATGGGGAGGGGCAATGACCTGCTTCCCAAAAGGTTTGAAGAAGGCCCTGCTTTGGCCAGAGAGAGACCAAAAGCAAAACTCTTGCCGAGGGGTGCCACAGCACTCCCTTTCCGAACCCCCACTGGATTGGAAGACAAGGAGGGTCCAGGGCTAGCAGCAGCTCCTAAGGGCAAGGAGAAAAATAGTGGCCCACGGCAAGGGGCCCTTGAGGATGGCGAGAGACCAGGGTGGTCATCTCCAGTAAAGGCTGCAGCAATACTTCCAACCACTCATAACCACAAAGTGCCAGTCCTAATCTCACCCACTCTAAAACACACTCCAGCAGATGTACAGCTCATTGGCACAGACTCTCAGGGTAATAAATTTAAGCTCTTATCTGAGCATCAGGTCACTACTTCTGGCGACAGGGACCGGCCCAGACGGGTAAAACCAAAGTGTGCTCCACCTCCACCACCAGTGATGAGGCTCCTACAACAGCCAGCTGCCTGCTCAGATGCAGCAGAAGAGCTGAACAACGTGGCGGGAGCGCAGCACGGACTGGAATCAAGCGAAGGGAGTAAGAAGGCAGCAGCAGCAGCACCTGTTGGTGGAAAATCTGGGAGACCTGTGATGCCTCCGCCTCAAGTGCCTCTGTCATCGTCTTCCACCTCCCCAGTGAAACTGGCCAACGGCACGGCTGGCACAAAAGTAGCGCTAAGAAAGACCAAACAGGCAGCTGAGAAAATCTCCGCAGATAAAATCAGCAAGGAAGCACTGCTGGAGTGCGCGGATCTTCTCTCGAGTGCCATCGCCGAGCCAACGCCAAACAGCCAGCTGGTGGACACAGGGCACCAGCTGTTGGATTACTGCTCAGGCTACGTGGACTGCATCCCGCATACGCGCAACAAATTTGCCTTCCGGGAAGCCGTGAGCAAACTGGAACTCAGCCTGCAGGAACTGCAGGTTTCCTCAGCAGCTGCTAGCGTCCCTGGGGCAAACCCCGTCCTTAATAACTTATTGTCATGTGTCCAAGAAATCAGCGATGTGGTGCAAAGGTAGCTACTGTCAATCTGGGTAAGAGAAATACACATGGGGAGGGGGGGACTTTTTTTCTGTACTGATGCTTTCAAAAGGAAAGACTGATACTTGAGTATGTGAAGTACCTCAGATCACTGAGTTCTCCTCACGTTTACAGGTTCATCTCAGAAAATGGGGATGGAGAGGGTAGATTAAAGCTGTAAGGGGCAAAACGTCATGTGTTTGTCCCTACCTAGTCAGGCTGATCTGCTTGATATGGCAAGGGAGGGAAGCTCCTTGCTTCTCCCTTGGAGAGGCAGGAGAATCGATGGCAGGTTCTAGCTCTGGGAAGGATGAACTGATGTGCGATAGCTGGAGTACTGGAGTGGTTGCAGGCCACTTGGCTGTACAGATCCTCCCCTGTCTGTGCCGACACATGCTTTGGTCTCCTGACACAGCAAAGGAAAGGCACTGGGGCTCTGCTGGTACCAAGTGCCGAGCAGTCTGAGCTGGAGTAGTCCTCAAGAGGGAGGTCACATGCAGCTGGGGGAAAGGTCTAATGCACTGACAGTATTCAGAGCTGCTGGAGGTGGATGCACTAGTCCAGATGGCTTACTTCCACAGCACTGTTGCTGCTGTAATGAGAACTGCAAAATTAGTTAATATATTAAACTATTCCTTTTCCCTCCTGTCCACCTCATCCACCACATGTTCTCATCTGCTTTGTATCGGAAGCATCAGGGATACTGGGCAGACTTACCACTGGAATACCCCCTTCCCCACCACACAGCCTTCACACAGTTGATACCTATTTCTAGTGGTCTCGCACAGGTGCTGCTTGATGGTTATTTGTGAGTAGTTTGGGGCTCTTGCACAACTTGCCAGTGTTGTTATTGGGGTGGGTGGATTTTGTTTTCCTTTTTTTTTAAGCTCTAGGTTGTTTCTGTCTTGTTACCAGGTTGACTCCCCAGTTCAGTTTCATCACCTTGAGGACCCATGGTAGGTAAGGCAGAGCTTCTGCCACCCGTGGCTGTTCTCCACATTCCTTCAGCGGTCACAGCGCTGCAGAGCCAGCTGGAGAGCCAGGGAGTACAGCCTGGCCTGCCCACTGCATGCCATCGCTGCTGCAGGGTTCTCTGGACCTGCCCCTACTCTTGGCCTAACGCTTCATACCGAGGGCTTCTTGGGATTTGCTGTAGTGCTTACCGGTTCTGCAGGTTTCCAGCTTCCTGGCATATGAGGGTGACTAGGTATGGCAGTGCAGAGGGGAACCACAGCCATCTTTTTTTATTTCTTCTTGTATTTTAAAGGCTAGACCAGACTCTTACGCTGTGACATAGGGAACATGCACATAAACTGTACACTCCTCTGCTTGAGAAACGACCACAAATGTTACGGCTTTGCCTTAGAGTGCTCCCACTGAGTTGTGGTTTCTGATACCTGATGCCTGTTAGCAATGAATGCAGTCGTGTGGTTGAACTTGTCTTCCTTGATCCTAGTGCTGTTTGTAGACTGTTGTGGCATCAGAAAGATGGTCTTCTGCATATACATAACTCCCTGAGATGTAAATGTACTGGCAAGTAGGAAGACCTCAACTAATTTGGTTTGTGAGAGATGGAAAACAGGCCTGATTGATAGCTGCCGCCAAATACACGTTACCTTGCATGCTTCTGCTCACTTCACACTATTGGTGATGACAGAGGATCTCGCTTGCTTTGCACCTTAAATCTTTTATTTTTTGCTAAAATGGTTTTTTAACTTGTTTTTAAAGTGTGACTGCGCTGCTTGTAGTTTAAGCATTTAGAGTTGAGCTGAGGCACAGACATGAATTTACAAGATGGGCACTTCCATTTCTGTCTAGGAGCATTGCCCTGTTGGTGCTTGGAAGTAGGCTGGGCTGCCTCGGTGAGTGGCCCTGTTTTTTCTGTGGAGCACAGTGAGACAGGGGCCTGAACAATCTTTAGAAATGATGTCTGAGAATCCTCATTTTATTACTGGTCTGTGGTAAATGAAGTTGTGTCACAATGCATGAATGCACACAGGCGGAGCAGCATGTGAGGTAAAATGGACCACGTGAGCTTCACTGTCCAAGTAAGTGAAATGGCGAGGGGAGAAAAAAAAGGCAGCTCCTCCACCCCAGCTGACATTAAGGCATTAAGTGACTGAACATGTCAGTTTTACTCCAGTGAGCTGGTACCTAAGTGGAGACAAATCAAACTACAGCAGTCAGTACCAAGCCTAGCCAACAAAACCTGCTGTCTCGTTCTGCAGTGGGACCTTCAGTGGGATGGGGGAGGCTGCCCTAGGGCTCTTTCACAGCAATGCTCAGCCGTAAGGCAGAGTACCAAACCGTTATCACGCAGACTTTACTGAGGGCTTTTGTGGTTTACCTTATCTTTTTCAGTCATCTTTACTGAAGGTGTGCATTGCTGCACACCAAACTAACTGTCTTTGGAAAGGTGACCTGCAAAGGGAAGGCGGCTTGTGGTATTGCTTCACATGGCCTTTCAAACAATCAAGAGGATTTAACAAGTATGGGAGCTTTTTTCGGGGCAGAAGGGCAGGTCTTCTTTGCCCTGGCAGACAATCGCATGTTTTCATCATTGTACTACTACTCAGCCTAGAACAAACAGACTGAAACTGAAGTGATTCTCAGGGGAAAGGTATTTTAACCAGAAAATGTTAAGGCTGTTAGTCCAGTTCTGATGAGTATTATGAAAAAAGATGTGGTTTTTTTTTTTCCTGAATAACAGTCTTCCAGAAAAGCTGCAGCAAAAGTGATAGAATAGGAAACAATTCCTGGAATGTCTAGCTCCTAAAACCCCCCTCTGTCAGCCCTTTCTGAAGAAACTGACTGTGCCCCAAGGAAGGACTGTTCCTCTCCACTGGTCATCCCCACTTTCTTTCAGATGTCACCCAGTTTCTCCTCCCCATGGCAGAGGTGATGGGCAGTGGGACTGGGCAGTAGGCAGTAACACAGCTGAAGCCGCCTCTGCTTTTACAGTCACAGAGCAAGCTGAGGCTGGAAGGGACCCCTGGAGGTCACCCTGCCCAGCCCCCTGCTCCAGCAGGAGCCACCTGCCCAGGACCACATCCCAACAGCTTTTGAGTATCATCTCCAAAGATGGAGACTCCACAACCTCTGTGTATCACAGAAGCCCATACAATTCTGATCCCTCCTGTGGTGGAAAAACCCACTGTTCTTACCTGTTGTCTTACATCAGGTAGGTAGATCGTGGCAGAGGTAGTGCCAACTTGACACTAGGGTTTTTTTCCCCTACGTAGGAGGCTGCAGAATTGCTGCTGCTTCTGCCGCCTAACTGTTTTTTATTCCCAAACTGGAATTTTCCCCTGCCCTCTGGCAGGATAGCAAAAGGATAGTATCTGGAAAGCTGGTTCTGCTGTAAATTATCATTCAGTTGTTCTTCCTTCCACAGCCACTCACATAAAATTGCTAAAGTTCCGTCTCCCTTTTGCTAGGATTGGCTTTTGGCCTTAAAAGTCTCTACAGTGGCAGCTTCTCTGCTGGTTTCAGCCTTGTACAGTACGTTCAAAGTAACGTAGGGATGGTGAAGCCCTGGTACTTGTCCCAGTGAAGAGCACTCCTTGCTCCACTGTTCAGGGTAGGGGGCAAGGCATAAACTCCTGTTGTGTTTCCCTTCCTCATCACTGTCAGAAGGCCTTGTGGGGTAAAGGTGGTTGCAGCTGGGCTCTCTCACTTGCACTAGTATGGGCTAGAGTTTAAAGTAGTCTTCTCTGCAACAGGGATGGCAGCACGTAAGGCCTGGTAAATGCCAAGCACAAAGCATGCGCTCACAGGAGCGAGTTGTGGGGCACTTTCTCTTTGTAGCTACTGTGGGGAATTGGCCGACTCACAGGTGCAATTCTCTTTTCTTCCTGCACTGTACACCCTTTTTAACCCCAGAAGTGGTGCACTTGGCTGCCGACCGGCAGCAGCACTTCGCTATAATCATTGTCTTTAGTGTGGACAGAGGTGAAGCTGAATTAAGAGTCTGGGTATTGGAACTGTATCAAATTTAGCCACTGGGAAAGCAGAATTGAATGGAGCAGTGCTGCCGATGCAGAACACAGTGGGAGAGGGGAGGGATGCCTATTCCTGTCCTCCTCACACAGGACCTCTTTCCTGAGCAGCACTGGCCTTGTGTCAGTGAGATAGTCACACACGCATGTGTTGACATCCCACCAGGTGTGCTTATGCAAGAGTTTCATGGCACACTGCTCTCTGTGGGCAGCGGGAACTAAATCCCACAGCATGGGACAGCAGCTGCACCAGAACTGCTGCAGTAACAGAGCAGCCCCCCCTGAAAGGCAGTGGGAGCAAGAGCAGGCAGGATGGGCTATGCTGTGCAGCCATCACGTAGGGAAATCCAAACACTGGAGCCTGTACCATTCATCTGAGCCTTCCCCAGCAGCTAAGGCACTCTCTATAGTGCTTGTGGATGCTCTTGGGCATCAGCAGCTGTGAAAAGCACTAATGAACCCAGAAGATTGTTTCTGCAAACAGAACAGGCTGCTGTGTTCTCTTGTAGAACACTCAGCCCTACTGCTAATAGTGTCTGGCAGGAGAACCCAAGGGTTGCTACTACAGCATGCCTAGAAGCCTCCTGCTTCAGCACAAGTGGCACCATCAGGCTCGGGTGGGCACTGGAGTTGCGCTCCGCTTGCCTGTAGTGTAGAACAAACCTTCAGCTTATTCCCTGGTGGTGGGAAGTAAGAGGTTATGGGACACCCGACTTATTGACAATACCTACACGTGATAAGAAATGTCTGTACCAAAGGAGGTCATTCTTTAACTGTGTCTGTTGTGCATGGGAGGTAGAGCCCGATGGGCTCCGCACACTGTTTGCATCAGTAGTGAACTCATTGAGGGCAGGAATGGGTTAAAATGAAACACGTTAATCACCAATCACTCTACCAGTGTTGTCAACTGTTTTTTGTTTTTATTGTTATTGTAATATATTTTGGTTGTTTTTCTAATTTAATTCTCTCACTATCGTCTGACTGTGAACTGCGAACAGTGTTAAACTTGATGTAAATAAGGCCCTTTGAAGGGCCTCTTTGCCTGTCGTTCCACAAAGTTTTGCCAATTTGCATTTTGTTTTAAATAAAGGTTGCAATATTTTATTGGCAAAAAACATTTATGTGCTGTTTTCCCTAAGGAATATTTGAAGCTGCTCAGTATTAACCTGAAGTTTGTTGTTTTGGGTAGAAAAGATTATTATAAACCACTAAAAAAAAAGAAATAGTTTAATTCTTCCAGAGTGCAAAGAAAAGCAGTAGCTTTATTTATGCCTGTAAAATCAAGCTTAGTGTTGCCATGGAGTGCTCAGAGGAGAGCGGCTCTTGCTGGGTTGCATAATCAGATGCTTGCTTACCTCTGAAACACCCCTGCGTGACCTGGCAGAGCGCAGGGCCTTGTGTGGTCAGTGAGAGTTGCCCCCATAAGTAACACCACCAGTAATGAAATAAGAACTGCTCAATGTGCCAGCTTCATGCCAGCCCCGTGCTGGTGAAACGGCTGCCCAAGAGACTTCCCTCCAAGCGGCACCAGTCTAACCTGGGCAGCTGAAGATTCTTTTCTATTTAAGAACAAAAGTCCTAGGTGATCCTGGCTTATACAAGCTTCTAAGCAACTAACTTCAGCTAACTTACCAAACTCCTCAACTTTCTGCCCTGGTTATAAAAAACAACCCACATTTTGTGTCCTGTGGGGCTGCATCCTCCGTTCCCTGCCTCCGTCTGCCTCTGATGTTTCTCAGGCTGAAGCTTTAGACTTGACACTTGTGATTATGAAAGTGACCAGAAATCAGGTCTCAGAAATGCCTGATAACAGTGCATGCTGGCACAGGCCCTAAGGTCCAGTCTAGAGACAACAGGTCAGTTTAAACTAACTTTGCATCAGCTGAGCAGCTGGCTCATCCTTCCTGCCTTGGACTATGAAGCCTCATTAGGTAACAGAGCCAGTGTGCCCAGAGGGACACACAAACTCAAAGTCTGCAGGACTAGTAAGCGTGTCTGGTCAATCTTTTCCCAGAGGTCGTGCTGCTCATCACTGGCACTGCAGAGAGGTTCAAAGCTTAAAATAGACCAAAGGATGTCCAGGGCGCTAAGCCCTGTCCTTGGCGTGTGCCGTTTCACCTCATTGCCCAGCACAGCTCTGTTGGAAGGGAGTTTGGACCTAGAGGTCACAAAGTGATTCTTGCAAGACTGTTGAAATTTTTTGGTCCTGCTGCAAGATACTTATCACCTGGCAAGTATCCAGACAGCAAACAGGCCCTTAGTGCAATAATGCTGATAACCAGCCAAAAAAACCCACAGCATGCAACATTCTGAAAAGAAAAAACCCCCAAGCTTACTGCATCCCTGAAAACCCAAATTCATCTGCAGCCTGTTCCTTCAGCCACCATCCTCATCAACCACCCTTTGCCCTTGAAAAGAGAATTAGTTTTCCCTTTTTCATTTTGCAGGGAGACGACAAACGGGCTCTTCACCAAACTGCTTAGAAAAATAATTTCAGCAGAAGGTCACCTCATCCCCACAGCTGCTTCCATACAATGGAAGACTCCAGTGACAGGGGGACGGTCCAAAGGGAGAGGGCATGGGGTCTGCCGTCTCCATAGGAGATTACTGTCATTTTCTCAATGCAAGGGCCTCCCTACACAAACTGTGATCCTGGCACATGCGTCCCTGAGCAGCAGACACCTTTTGAATGCAGGAGAGCACCAGAGAAAAATACTCAGCAAAACAGTTCTGTGCAATCTTGTTAAGTGACAGAAAAGTGGGGACAGAGTGAGGACATGGCTTCTGCTGCACTGTCTCAACAGGACCTGTCTGTCCAAGGCTGCCTTCATCATGTGGTAACAAACCAAGCACTTGGACATCCCCACTCACATAAATCATAGCATCTGTCAACACAACCACATCACCACTTCAAGCTAAAAGAAGGGACTTAAACACCAGGCAGACTTGAGATGCAGCCAAGTGCAGGCTGTCCTGGTGTCCCAGGTGTAAGGCTGGGCAGGGTGTGCTTCCTTCCCTGCAAAAAGCCCTCCGAGTAACAGGGGCTTAAGCGTGTGTCCCTGTGCAAGGGCATGGCTGGGTAACCTGCCTGCCTGACCTTGTGCAAGAAAGCAGCTCTAGGGTGCAGAACCACCTTCACCACTGGTGTAGTCCCACCTGCTGTTCAAGGAAGGAAGTAATTGATGCGCTGGGATACAGATTTGCAGCCCTGTGCAGAGAAAAGCTTCTCCTCTTTGGGCACAAACACCATCATCCTGGCCACCTCATCGAGGGCTGCCTCTGTGTATGGAAGTCCCCGGGCCAGGAAAGCATCCCGTGCGCAGAGCTTCACATGGTGGTACTCCAGGGGAAGGAACGGCACAATGAAATCAATGAGGTTCTCTTCAAGGAGGTGGCTGTGGGCATAACTGTTCTCTGTAGCAAAACAAGACAAAAGAAACTTCAGAATCTTCACCTGGGAGCTGTCATCCCTCTGCAAGGCCAGGCTTGTCTCTTTGCAGGGGCCTGTCTTGGCTCATCCATATGTTTTGGGAGAGAGACACCCACTTGTAAAGAACCGTTCAGCACTTAGTCTGAACAGAGAAAGACATTACAGCTTGCCCATCTCAGGCCAGAAGAAGCCTGAACCCTAGAGAAGCCTTGATACTCCTGTGCAGCGTTAGGCTGCCGCTTGCAACCTGGCCATTTCCAGGGCTGAAGTAGGTAACGACTCCGCTCCTTCCTCATGTGCCTCACTGCTGCTGAGTGGGGCTGTGCTCACATGGATGAAGCAGGGGCTCATGCTGCAAATACTCCTGGGGTGGGGTGCTGGAATAAAGCACGCACACTTGTGCGGCACAAGGCGAATGGGACTGCGTAAGCAAGGCCCCAAGCCAGCGCAGAGGGGCAGGTTTGCAGGCAGCTTACCCACAGCATCCCAGAAGCAAGCCCAGCTCTTACCCACAGGCTCCTGCAGCTCCAGCCGCAGCCGCTGTTCCAGGAGCTCCATGGAGATCTCCTCCCGCACCTGGCCCGATCGCCGGACGTCCAGGGCTACCTCATTGATGGTGTTGCCGCCCAGGTTGCTGTGGACACAGGAAGGAAGTCACTCAACCATGTCCCCCCCAGGATGAACTGCTAAGAGCTGCCAACCGCCTCCCCTGCAGACCAGCCCCGGCAGTTCTCTTAGCAATGAGAGATTTGCTGTGTAGGATCAGCATCTGAAACATTAGCACACGGAGGAGCCAACTTCCATCCCAAATTGCCCCCTTCTGTAGGTATTTGTACAGCTATCTTCCATCTTGCCAGCTCACAGCCTGGGGCAGCTGCTTTCTCCCCCAGGGTGGGACCAGGAGCCAGTAGAATCCTCCATTTCCATCAGTCCCCTGTCCCAGCTGGGATGCCACCGACCTCACAAGATAACGCTTGGTTGCACACCAAACTCTGAAAAAGCCACCACTGAAAGTCCAAGTTAGAAGGCAGAGCACGTGACGGGAGCCTCACTAGAAGGGAAGGTCCAGGGCAGGGCTTCAAGTGGCAACCCAGGACTTGGCAAAACATCCCCTGCCTGAGGGACAAAGCAGCACAGTTCCCATGTGAGGATTCCTTTGGACACACACTGTGGTGGCAGCTCCATGGTGGGGAGTGGAGGTCCTGGCAGTCACTGAGGCTCCCAGAGCAGTCCCTCACCCTGGAAAGCAGATCAAGGCCAGGCAGCCCCCAAGTGCTGGTGAGAGGTTTGCAACAGCTCAGCCCCAGCACCCTGCCACCAGTCAGCTGGTGATACTGGAACCATCTGGCTGCAGAGCTGGTGTAGGTGGGAAGCAGAGAGGCACTGGGAGGCACAGACCTTGCACCGATCTTTTCTAGTGTCAGAGGCTCTAGAGCCATTCCCCAAATGGAGGGGAGGCAACGTTAAAAATCTGTCAGTTGCCCACCCCCCTGCTGCCTTGTTAGGGGGAGAAACAGCTTATACTGGTCCTGCTCCCACCCAGCCCATGGGAGAAGCACAGAGAACAGGCAGCCAGTCCCACCCTACCCCCCAAACCTGGCCAGAGCTGCAGGAACAGGCCAGCGTCCAACGGAGCCCTGTGGCAGAGCCAGCCCTCCCACAACAGGTCTGTGTCACAGCGCCACTGGGCGTGACGAAACCTCCCCAGGATTACACACTGCCGCAGTTCAAGGCACCCCGCTCCGCTCAGTGGCACGAAGGGGCTGATGGCATTCCCCCACACCTGCATGGCTTGCCAGCAGGCAGGACACAAGGTCAGCTCGGCACAGCCAGCAGCACATCCACCTTGCCCTGAGCAACAAGGGAGAATCTGCCCCTTCCACCATGGCTCCTGCTGGGAGGCCCACACAAGGTAGGACTAAGGAAGAAGTTCTTTCCAGTGAGGGCGGTGAGGCACTGGAGTAGGTTGCCCAAGGAAGTTGTGAATGCTCCAACCCTGGAGGTGTTCAAGGCCAGGCTGGACAGAGCCTTGGGTGACACGGCTTAGTGTGTGGCGTCCCTGCTCATGGCAGGGGGGTTGGAACTAGATGATCTTAAGGTCCTTTCCAGCCCTAACTATTCTATGATTCTACGAAACATCGCCAGCTCTGCAAACACTGGGCACATATACAGGTCCTCCATGTGCAGAGAAACTTCCCTGGGAACCACCAAACCTGCAGGTTAGAACACTTGCCTGGGTGGTGGGAGATGGAGAACAAATGCTCTGTTCACCTCCAGCCCGTGGGAACACCTCTTGCCAAAGCCAAACTGAAGGCTGTAACTCCTGAATTGAAGGAGGGCCAAGATGCTTGTCTCTCCTTGGCATTTCTCACCACCTACTTCAGACACGTGCCTACCTCACATCTCAGTTTTGAGATGTCCTACTTCTCCCTCATGCTGCATCCCACCTAGGCTTGGGTCAGGGACAGCACTTGCATGTGCACATGCCAAAGCCCTTTCTCCCTTTGGATGGGTAAGGAACCAACTAAACCACAGGATGAGCTGATGCCAGATCAGTCCTTGCAGCACAGCAGACCAATGGCACCTCAGCCTGCAGCCACAGCCAGGCAGTGGGAACTCCCCACCTCCTGCTCCCAACTAACAGTGCCACACTGCACAAGAACTTCCCATAAAGATCTGCTTTGCTCCCCAGAGAATGGGATGTCCCTGCTGAGCTGGGGAGGGTGACACCATGCTAGCTCTGACCCTCACTGGTTCCTTGTATCAGAGCCTAGACACTGGCTCAGGTGTCACAGCTAAGCCAGACTTCAGCTCCTCCTGCAAATGCCCCTGAAAATACTCAGGGAGGTTGCCCAGCATCAGTAAGTAAAATTGACCATGGAGGCAACTGCCTCTTGGAGGATCTAGATATCTCTCCCCTTCCCATGCAGCCTGAGTCCCTCATTTCACACACCTCAGGGGATAAATTCCATCACTTTGATCCTCCCTATCCCTTTGGGGGCCCAGAAATCACCTGAGGAACATGAAGATGGATCTCCGGTAATCCACTTTGCTCCTGCTGTTGTAGGGAGCCATGAAGGGCTTGATGGCATCCAGGAGGCCAAAATGAAGTTTCTCTGCCTCATCGAAGATGAACAGGGGCTGCTTGCAGAGCTGCACAGTCTCGGTGATCTGCTGCTTCAGCTGAGCCTGCAGAGCAGCAGGGAGGGGTGTGAGAAGCCCCAAAAGCCCAACAGCAGTCACTACCACCGGAGCATTGTGCAGGGGCTGAGCCTCAATGCCGTGGGCTAACCCCGGCTGGCAGCTACTTCCTTATTCCCTCCCACCCAGCCAGACAGGGCAGAGAATAGGAAGAGCAAAAGCAAGAAAACAAGTCAAAACGAAGATAGTTTAGTAAGTGAAGGTGAGGAAGGTGAAAGAAAGAAATGAAAGTAAGTGCTGCAAAGGCATCCACTCACACCTACCACAAACAGACTGATGCCCAGCCAGTGCCCAAGCACTGGCTTCCTACCCCAAAACCCACTCCCATAAAAACTATGTTCTTATTGCTGAGCACGACAGTACATAGCATGGAATATCCCTTTGGTCAGTTGGGGTCAGCTGTCTGCTGTGACCCCTCCCAAGTCCCTGTGCAACCACAGCCCACTGACTGTGGGGGGCAGACTGGGAGAAGAAGAAAGCCTTGAGGCTGTGCGAGCATTGCTCACTGGTGTGTTATCAACACTGTTTCACTCACAAATCTAAACACAGCTCTGTATGGACTGCTGTGAAGAAAATGCACTCCATCCCATCCAGACCCAGTACACTGGGCCATCCCTACAGCAACACCATGTTGTTAGTTCTCACCTTGTACGAGTCCACATACATGTGATGGGGGAAGTGGAAGAGTGAAATGAACAGCCTGACGCACTTGCTCTTCAGCCCGTCCCGGTACAGGTGACTGGCCACCATCCGAGCCACAAAGTTCTTGCCCGTGCCAGCCCAGCCATGGAAGGAGAGGACCAGAGCCTTCTCTGGCTGTGGGCTCTGCAGGAACCCTTGCACTGCCCGGATGACCACTTCTTTGGCCAAGTGTTGCCCATGGAGCTGCCCATTGAGGTCTGCTGCTAGCCCTACAGGAAGGAGAGAGAAAAGCTCAGCCTGAAACTGTAAGCCCAGCTGCTGCTGCAGGTGGAAATAAGAGGAGAAAATGTGGCAGGTCATGAGGCCCACCCAGCCCTGCTGGTGAGGCTGCCTGTCTGAGAGGAGACTGAAGTGGTGTTAAAGCCCCCGGGGTCAATGAGACAAGCTGCTGGTACCCTGCCTGCATCAGCCACTGACCACAAAAAGACACAGATCTTCCACTGACTCCTTTTTTCCTTTGGGAAGTAGATGAGGTATTTGACAAGTGCAGGGAGCACTTTAGCCCAAAGGCCCTCATGAGCTCCCAGCGGAGGGTAGAGATACCAGAAGTCTCAGGACCAGCAAAATGCAATGACACCCGCGCAGGGTTTACATGCAGGTCTCTGTGTACCTTCCTGACCCGGGGTTGGATACTGGGCCAGTTTGGATCCCACTGTGCATGCCTGGGAGCTACCAGATGAAGGCAGAGCTCATAGCATTTCTGGAGCAGATATGCTGTACAGTAAGGAACAAACTCTTGCAGTCTCAGAACTAAAAATGAATAATGGGAAACAGGACTTAGCTCAACCCCTGGCCCTCCCACCAGCTCAGCCCCCTGCTCAGAAATGCCCTTTATTCACCACATATCACTTGATAAAATACACTTTTTTTAGAAAATTTTTGATTTTTAAGAAATCACACAAACGAGCAACAAGAGATGAGGGAGAGGCAGCAAAGACAAGCACTGCTTGGAGTGTCCCAAACCCACCACAGCACCTACCTGTGATATTGTTGACTACCCTGCAGTCTCCTGTTTGGCAGCACTCGCTGAAGCTGCAGTACCAGGCGGAGAGGATGTCCAGGTAATCCTGTCCCACCAGAGGCAAGCCCCAGCCTGGAAAGGGCAGCAATGTGAGCAGAGGTCTCCCAGCACGTGTCTTTCCGGGGTCTGGTGCGGAGCCCAGTTAACGGCAGCCCTCCTCCCGGGTGCAGGGACTTAGACACTGCCCGCCAGCAGCCCAGCTGTGGGGAGGGGGATAAGCACCTAAGGGGCAGCAGCTGGCTCGGGCAGGCACATCGCCGTGGCAGGCGGAGACACGCCAAGTTTGTGGCAACCCAGGGCATGCTGAGGGAGGAGGGAGATGCCCAGGGCAGCGCGCCTTGGCAAGGGCAGCGTCCACAGGAGCCGGAGGCACAGACCCCTGTGCTGGGGGCAGGAGGGTGTTCGGACCTGCTGCTGTTTCTGGGGCACTGGAGAGGGGAGAGAGAGGAGGAAGGTGCTTACCTGGGCTGGGACTGGACACTTCCTTCTCCTCCTCTTCGCAGT